AGTTGCTAAGTTTAAAGTGATGAGAAACGTACTGATTGTGGAACTTCTGTGTACTAAAAGTTTGTATCTAGGAAGAATACACAGGTTTAATCAAGAAAGGACTTGTATCACTGAAGATACTCGGAAAGAATTTCTACTGGAAACAAACAAACAAGCAGATACGTAACATAATTTATTTTATAAAACTAAACGAGTTGCATACATTCAAGAATTATATTTTCGTCTGCTAATCAATAAAACCCAAAATTATCACCCATCAAAAATACAATTTCCATTTATTGCCAGATCGCTACCACTTTACAATCTTTAGCTAAAATTTACAAAAAAAAAATCAGTTGTAATATTTTATATAGAATAACCTCTTGTAATACCGGTTATTAACAAACACTTAACTCGGTGTGTATATATATATATTTTGAATAAAATAAATCCCTATTGTCACTTTCAAATACAAAGAACTTTTGCGAAACATATTTCGTTCTTGGTATCTGTATCCAACTGTCAAACATTTGGCGCAGCCATACAGAAAGTCTATGATCAATATTTAGGTATATTTTATGAAAATTCGCGAATGCCAAAACCTCTCATTTATAGCAACATTCCTAATCACTAAAAATGACTAATAAAAAATATGTATTGATATATACAGAGGGGAGTATGTTATGTTGAATATGCAAATCAACATATTACACGTCAATCATTGCCGATTTTTAAGCTTCAAAGTGCTTTCTCTCGACATGAAGATGGCCTATGACTTGGCCGAAAACCCTTCAAGACTTATTCATGAATCATCGTATTATGCTAACAGACATTGTACATGTTATGTTTTTAATTTAGTTTCATATTTTAAGTTCACTCTCTATATTCAATGTTATAGCATAACTAATTTCAGCAGCGAGAATAACTACTTATGTACGCCAATAATTATTGTTAAGAAATAATCAATAATTTTAACATAAAATTCTCAACCAAAATCGTTAGATATACATATATCTTTTCTATAATTACTATCATTAACCTTTATTAGCCAGGTGGTTAGGGAGCTCGATTCGCAATCTGAGGGTCGCTAGTTCAAATCCCAGTCCCACCAAACATGCTCGCCCTTTCAGCCGTGGTGTCGTTATAATGTGACGGTCAATCCCACTATTCGTTGGTAAAAGAGTAGCCCAAGAGTTGGCGGTGGGTGGTGATGACTAGTTGTCTTCTCTCTAGTCTTACACTGCTAACTTAGGGACGTTTAACGCAGATAGCCCTCGTGTAGCTTTGCGCGAAATTCAAAACAAACAAACCTGTATTAATAATTTAAAATTGACTTGAAACATACAGGATAGTGATCTAGTACCTTTATTGGTGATACATATTATATTCATTAGATATGTACATTACCAAAAATAATATTCATACAAAATATATTTTCTTTTTTTTCTGTAACCATATTATAACATATTTCTCACCCAAACTATTTTTATATCACTTGTTTGTCATATACAACCAATATATTTATAATAAAATCCATTCGTTATAACATACATTTTCATCTAAAATCACTATTTGTGACGCATGTATATGTATCTTTCATAAACAGAGTTCACTTAACTCAGTCTTATATAATATTTTATAACCATTTATTATCTTTAGAAATAATTTAAGACTATCAACGCACGTGATTGGATGTTTGTATAGGCACAAGCAGATGATTGGTCCAAGCTTCAGACATGATACTAGATTTAAGATGTTTCCTTTCTTCTTTTACCCCATTTTGTTATTACAAGTTAATTGTGAACAAACATCGTGAGTGGTTGGCGGGAGAAATTTATGAATTTGATTCCTAAGATAATAAGTGTTTTTAAGTCACAAAGGAGGAATTTTCTATATATCTTTAACTTTTGAGATCCTTCTATTTTTCCTTGTTACCCTTCTGTTTGTCTTGTGTTAGACGTTTGTACTGTGTTGGTGACGTAAGCTACCAATTAACACCATTTACATTAAGTCAAGATATATTGCTCTGTTCAATAGCATTAATTTGCGCAAATAACAGAGATGTCATATTTTTCATATTGCACAGTTTTATACGTTTACAGATGCGATGACGAAGTTGCATTTGCGTTTACCACATTATTCTGGTAACCGAATTCAAACTTCTAACCATCTCCTTATCTTTCTCATTATATAGCTATATATATATATTTCTTTATAATCGTTGATAAGTTTTAGGTTATTCAAAATAAGTTGGAGAGGTATTTCACATTGACAGTAGCAATGGTTTGCAATAGACAGGTAGTCAGTCCTTTGAGTGACACTTACTAATTCTAGTCCAGAGTATTTTTTTAAAATAATACTACAAGATGAACCATAAATAGCAGCTTAGTTATTCCAGAATTAGATCATTCTTTATTGACTGCTAAATAAGATCAACTAAGTTTGGAAAAGTTCACTTCACTTGACGTTTTTCTTAACCTCACATCTATTCTGAAACCTGATGTATAACTTTTATATTTATAGTTACATATAAACCTTTATAATAATTCAATAACTCTGTCACTCCTTAATTTCATATTGTATTTTTTATATTCTAATGTGCTTTTGAATATGAAACTAGTATGTTTTTTTAGCTACTTCTGTATCTAAGTTATCCAACTCCTTCTGTAGTCCGTGTTGGTAGAGCCAGATCGCCTTTTCCACTGTATCTACGTGTTTATCTATCATTCTCTTTATTGAAGTATCAAATATTTCCAGTTTTTGAATCCGTTCCTTACGTTTGAAGAAGCCTTCTTTGTTTTCCAAAACACAACTTAGAGTAGCATTTGATACACTGACGTTTAAGAATTCGATAAGTTTTAAAAGATTGTCTTTGAGGTGTTCTACCAGTTCTTCATATTTTACTATATGGAGTGGCCCATTAAACTTCAACCAGTCAAGTGTTAATTCCTTCCATACTTTTATCTGTTTTTCCAAAAACAATTGCCATTCTGCGTGAAAAACAGGAAAAACTAAAATCATTTCTAGAAGAATAGAAGAAAGAGATTAATCTGCATAACATGTAAAATGATTCGTCAATAATCTAGAAAAAACTATCAAAACATTCTCATATGAAGTAAATTTGCAGTTGTGTCGGTTTGCTTGGCCTGGAATTATTTAGTCAATTTTCATAAAAATAAGGATTAATGTAACTGTTTTGATAAATAGATAGTCGATTGCATATTTCTGAACCCAAATAGATTTGGTAAGTATTAATAATAGTTTACTTATCAGACCTAAGCCCAAATATTATTACAAAATCAGAAAGATATATTTTTGAATCTTATAATTAGTAAACAATAAGTTAGATTAGCCATTCTGATCTGAAGAGTGATTTTAAATGACAATCAAAAAACGAGCAGCTTATCATGTTGATTACAATCATAATTCTAGGTACAAGTTAGTGAGACTAAATACTAAATATAATGTAAACCATAATTTAAACTGGAGCTAGAAAGATCAATTTGATAGTGCGACATGCAGTACATATCATGCGTTGTCAACCCACTTAGCTGCTTATGGCTCGTGCTTAATTAATATAGAACATTGGTCAAGGGGACTACTAACTTTCTCTAGAGTTAGTTTTTCACGAGACTGGTTGAATATTTGTCAGTTAAATTGTACTGATGAGAAAGCACGAATAAATATCTGTCACACACAAGTGCGTGTCTAAGTGATGTTTATATTTGTTTTTCGTTGTTGTTTAACAAAGATTGTGATTGCTTGTAAGCTTGAATCCAGTCTTTTTCTTTCGTAAAGATCCAGTCAAAGGCAGAGAAAATACGGCACTGCTCTGTAATATACTATACGACGAATCCTCCTGTAGACTATTCTAAGGGAATCAGGGCAACTTGGAAACACCACACTAGTCTTTAGTAAATCATAATCCTAAAGTGAAGTCAGTTGTTTTAATGACTTATTGACATTATAGTGAAACCACGGCCTTATATAGAGGCCAGTAATTTGAGGTTTATTCATAATCGATTGTACTGTAAAGAGGAAACTGTGGACGCATTATGTGCGTGACAATCATATTGGGTTGATATTCTGGATATATATGTTTCAGAAAAAAATAATAATGACAAGCTCACATGCTTCCAAAAATCTACATATGTGCATTTATTTGCAGCTAAATATCATGAGCCTGTCAACCTGTAATTTCTTTAAATTTTGCATGAGAATATCTATATTAGATGATATGTATTCAACTCTCAAACCGTTAAACACTCACCAGATGGCTTTTTCATGAGTAATAAATTTTTAAGGTACGTTTACTTTACTCATGAAATAATAATAGTATAACTTCCAGTTTACTGCAGGTACTTTAGAAATGCATATATTCAAATGAATTTATTTAACAAGATGCTGTATTTGTTATACGACTTATAACAAAAGAAAATATTTACATTTGTATATAAAGCTCCAAACAAGTAAAGTAAAACTAATAATGCGGTATACGAAAATTTATTTAGTGTTGCTTTTCCAGTTTGGTTTAGAAAAGTGAACATTTCTTGTTCGACAAAAATATTCCAAATGTTTTGCCCTTACATGCATTTGGCGCACATACTGAACTCACAGTGCATATACAGTCGGCTTTAGACCGACTTGACCTTATTACTGTGCAAATAATATTTTTTTTCAAGTATCATTCGTTTTGATTTTTTTGGACTTACCAATGGAAGATGTCACTGGAGAACTTCTTTAGGTTTCTCCTAATGAATTCTCCAGTCACATTGGTCTTTCCTATTTTTGTTAATGGGATAACCAGTGATGCGGATGGCAAATGCATTCTAGTAGATTTTACCCTGTTTAAATAAGTATATAGCAACTGTTTTTCCCAGATTCAGTGACCTTTAAAAACGGAAGAATATTTAGTCCGAAAGAGCATCTCCTTAGGGCCCTAAGGACTATTGTAGATAGGATACTACTCATGGCCTGGAAATCTAAAAATTATCAAGTTCCACACCAGAGATGAAGATTCTTCGTAATCCAGAAACCCCAAGGTACAAAGAAGCCAAGATCTAAACAAAAGAAAACAGCAAATCCCCTGAGCATGGAAAGAGCCCTCATATTAAAACTGTAAGACCTACTCCAGTAACCATCAACAAAGCTCAGTTCTTTCACTTTTCTCATCTCTCGCACCTTGCTCTCCGGCCTTATTCACACCCCCAACTTCTCTGCACCCACTAATATAAATTTTATTATCCTATTACTAGTTACTTACCCTATCCTCACCCCTCACGGTATCCCCAGTTCTTACCATTCTCCCCTCAAATAGGGCGGATAAAGAATAATTTCAATCCCTGAACATCCTTCACCCCAGAATTCCTGATCGTGTTCCTGGTTCTCTTAGTCTTAGGCAGATTCTCGTTTTACACAGATATTTCTCTATTTAGAGAGTTATGCGGCTGATTTTCGTCTTTGTGCGCACGTCTGATTGAGATGAATCGTTTGTATTGCGTGTTTGTGTATGTGTTACGAACAAATAAAGTATTTTTGTTTTGCTGTGAAACTTATGGTAATCTTTTCCCTCAATTCAGTCAGGTCAACATTTTTGCCAGACCTTTTGTTAAAGTGTTACTGTTTCTAGCTGAAAGAAATCAGTGCACCCGAGATTACTTCAACTGCGCATACAGTGGTACATATAAAACTTATAAATGTTTATTTTCCTTCACTCTTAAGTGAATGCCTTTTCCTCACAATTTTTATAATGTATTGTCATTTAGTAAAATTTTTATATAAAGCAATTTTGCATCTTAATTTTCAACCAGATAATTAGCTATTTAAAGTTTGCATTCAGTGGTACACTTTACCTGAAGACAAAAACTGGTTAGCAATTAGTCTTTGTTTTCTTAACGTGAATGCGAAGTCAAAAAATTTGGTTATCGATTAACTTTTTCTCTCAGAATTAACTAATTCAGCAGAGTGTCAAAAAATGTTTGTCCAAAAGACTTTTATTTGTGTGATTACAAGATTTTAAAATTATCCTCAAAAACTTACCTTTCTTCTGATTTCCAAAAAACATTCTTTGGGGAGCATAGCCAAGATGGCCACCAAATCTTCTGTTGAACTCTGCTAATAAAGCCTTTCTCGGTTCCCGAACAAGTAGTATTGCTTTATGAAATTTTCTCCGCACGGTGTCGCCCCACTCGTGAGTTTTCACCAAGATGACAGAACCATTCTTAATTCGTTCTCCATGAAAACCAGCCATAGCTAGAGCTGAATCGCCATAAATACTACCAGTAAGGTACCCTAAAGGATTGGATAGAAGATAAAAGAAACATTCAACTGAAAATGACGAGGCGTTTAATAGTTATGTTTATTTAGAAACATACTTAATTCTGAATGTGGTGTTAGAACAGTTATATTTTCTTAAGAAAATACAAATGTTTTAGGACTTTAGATGAAACAACTGTGGTTTTAAATCTACAATGAAAATTAAGATAACTAAAGATATTGAAGTTCCATGGAAATAGCTTACATTAACTTTGAATAAGACTCACAATTCTTTGGAGCAGCGTCTTTCAGTGGCTTTGAACTCGCAGGCGGATGGTTGCGAGTTTGAGGTTGGCCTGCATCATGCTGTTGAGTCCTTGCGCAAGACAATTTACCCCACTTGTTCCAGTATACCCTTGTAAAGGCATGCCATATTTTTTAATGGTTATTATTTTCTACATTATTTTCATTCAGTTCTTTGGTGGCTTAGCTTAAGGGCCTATAACACAAAAGTTCTTTGTTCGATCCCCGTGGCGCACACAATACAGATATTCAGTTATTGCAGCTTTGCGTTGAAACAAGCTTTATATTCACAGATAGAAAGTTACAAAGAACAAACATTTATTTTCATATCATTGAAAATACTGTTTTAAAACATCCCGGCAGACGTTTAATTAGCTCAAACATTATATTTCCAACAGAAACGATACGATAGAGTAAGCAGCAGCTTATGTGGAATGATTTAACAGTATGATCATTAGCATCCAGCATTACATGTAACAAATTAGTCACATGTGTTTATTTTCTTATGTTATATACATATTCTATTGAATCTTCTAAACTTCTCAAATAACGTTTCATTATGTAAAGATTAGAAATCACTGGATTGTTTTTCTTCCCCTATATCTAAATAGGTCCATCGACTAATTGACGTCAACATTACGTTGCCAGGACGACAAAATATACATGAAGAACGTTTAAGAAAACCACATTGCATATAAAGTTGCTTGAAACACAATATATACATCTTGATATTTTGTTTTGTATAAAACTTACGCCAGAAAATAGTTGGATGTGTTAATCATTTGTCCAAATTAATTACATCAACATATATTTGTATATATATATATATTATATATAAGTGTGTGTGTGTGTGTGTATGAACATACGTACATATATTTACTGAGTTGGGTCTGAAATGTATTTTTATGTTTATTCGTCTACTCTTTCGTTTTCTTATTTTTACAACCAAACAAACTATGATAAAATGATATAATCTCAGATTGCAACTGGTGATTACTAATTAGTTTCTTTAATATTAATACATTAGTTTGTATTCCGTTACTACATTTTCAATAATTAGCTGCTTTAGCATTTAACTGATTTACGCCACCAATACCGTAACTAAACATTTGTGAACCTTGAATATTTTTCAAATAATGTTTGTAAACTGATAACTTTATAATATACATTTAATATGCAAATTCTTAAAACAGTTTGGGCAATGTAATAACATGTTGTAAGCCATAATAAGACTGACTTAATGACACGTGTACATCTCGTCTTTAATATCGCAATTCGCATGAGATTATTATCCATTTTAATGCTAATGACATTCATAAGTCGATGACGTCAATTATTAATATCCATGAAAGTTGTAAACCAGGTTTCGTAACGTATCTTTTAACTAGATACTATCATTTTAATAGCTTTTCATTTGAAGCTTGGTGCCCGTTTGTTAAAATATAATGACCGTAGGCTTGTCGAAATAAATTCGAGACAGAATGCTACAGATATTGCATTAAAAAACAAGAAAAAATTAAATCAAACCAACTTACCAGTGGACTGTTGAACTAAATATCGGATCCAAGTGTTTCCAGATCCTGGAAAGGATGCCAGTGCTGTGACTGGTCCAGGAGGATCCCTCAATTTGGATATTTTACACGGATATACATTCTGAGAAGAACGAAATAATGGATTGTATTGAAATCCTGATTGCACATTCAACAACAATTTGTAATTCTTCCGTACTTTTGTAATCTGACGTCCTGTCAGAAGTTGATGTGCTAGTGGTGGCTTTGGAGTAAGGCTGCGAGACAACAGAACTCCCATAAAAACGAAGAAATAACCTAAAACAAATACTAGAAGAGTAAGGAAATACCTTTTTATAAGCAATATTCGGAAATTACAAATTTTAAAGACCATTCTTCAGTCATATACTGATCTCTGGGCAACAAGCTGATCTCTGTAGTTCTTTCGTTGGCGTACTACTTCTTATAACAGCGTATGATCTACATACGTATATGCTAATTCCTCCATCTAGATTTTTAGGAACACAACTACTAACAGATGCTCGTTCTCTCTTTTACTGGCTAGATGTGTTAGTATTCACTAAATGGATACTAGTTTGCTGCTTTAGGTTGCATGTACTCTAGTGACGTATAAACTATATATGTATTCGGTTGCGCAGGCTCAGTTGTGTATTCCGTTTCCGAGTCAGTTGTTGGGCTAGAGTTAATGGATTATTCGTCTAAAATAAATTGTCATCATAGTTCTTAACGGTTTGAGTGTTTGTTGTCAGGTTGCCATACATTGAAATCCTAGAATCGGTCTTGGATACTCAGTGGTTTGATCAATAATTTGTGATCGAATTATCGATCATTTTACCGTGAGTTTTTCATGGTCACTTGTTGAGTTACCTTAAAAGAAAGCTAAAGCTGCCTGTATACTTACTTGACTTATTCTGACTTTATAAATTTATTTCCAAGCAAACACTACAAGGATCAAGAAATTGAAATAACTATTCCCAAAGAAATCCAAATATATGAAATACACGGAACTGTGTATTAAGCACTTATAACTCATTTTAATTGGATATATGATATCTTTGTCACGTGACCATCAAACGCATGCTCTGTTTGTTTTATCGATAAGCCTTGCGTATCGTGCATTGTTGTATAGCTGCTTTGTGACCATTTAACGACGCGGTCCGTTATTTCCATCTATAGACTCCAAGAGTAATAGAGGTTTCTCTTTTTTTAAAACTCACACACCTGCATTAGCACTTTTTTGCACCTGCCTATTCTTAACTTTGTATACGACAACTACATATATATATATACATGTTAAGCCAGGCCCGGACGTAGAATGTTTGAAAGGAGGGTTCTAATTTTTTAGATCAAACCTAACACATATTGTGCGAAGCACAATCAGCATCCAAACCGTGCTAATACTACGAGAGCCTGGATGCATGCCCCCTCCCCCCCCCCCAGAAATTTTTTAAAAAATAGGTGGTATGAGATTAGATCTGGAAGCGATTTTATATGAAATATGGCTTAAACAATTGCATGGCTGTTCACATAAAATCCACAAACAATCAAGACGTAAAATACTATAAGCAGCTGCAATGTAACTATATAAACAAAAATAGGGGTTTCAGCCGAACCTCCATTCCTGCGACGTGCATGAAATCTAAAGAATGAACTATCTGTGCTGTGCCCACTACGAGTATCGAAATCCAATTTGACAGAAACAATATTTGAACATTGGTTTGAATAGGTAGTCGCCGGGTCATTATATTTTCAAAGATTAAATCTCAGGAGCACGAAAAGCATTAATTAAATGTCTATATTGAAAGTTTCAGACCATTTAACTGATCTGCTACGAAAAAATTATTGGGGATATTTATCACCATTGTTACTTCTAAACAACATGTGTAATGTTTACCCGAGAGTGATGAGTAACAATTTATAAATGAGAAATGTTCTAATCTGAAGAAATTCTTCACTACCATATGGGTTGATATATTTTATTTTAAAAAGAATATATTGTTACGTCTCCGTTTGTTAATTAACTTTCCGTAACTTCGTTCCGACGAAACTTTAACGACACAAGTTCTTTACTTAATAAAACTGGTTTATTCTTTCCGAATACAACTTTACCGATACACTCAACTTCAACAATCGCGCTAAACAAACGCTATAACAACGAACGTCAATAATACTTCTGACCGCAGATCAATTACTCACTGTCTACACAAACATGACCGCGTCACGTTTTCCCCTTTCATATATACTAGCCT